AAACGATAAAAGAGCATCTTATGCGTGCGATTTGAAATATTACAATGGAAATTTTCTCCTACGTCAAACCAGTGTGAAATACGGATATATTATACTTCAAATAGAATTAATTCAGCCGATTCTGCAGATTAATATGAGATTTTTCCTTACAAAAATCTATTGAATACATATGCAAAAAATTTTATAATTTTTAATTAATTTATTTAATAAATAATCGTTGAATGAATTGATAATTAATATGTGGTAGGTATTTTTTTGTTTTAAAGACTTGTTATTTCAATGAAATTTGATTGCCAATCTTATGGCAAAGTAATGTACATCTGTATTTAAATATCTTTTTTAATTTAAATAAAAAATAGATAAAAGATATTTATATTAAGTTCTATTGATGCAATTGATATTATAATATATAAGTTATAATATATACTATTGTATTCAACAATGAAAATATTTATATTATGAAAGTATGTATAAAAATCGCCATAAAAAAGAACAATGGTTTGTACGTGTATAGGCATTTAAAATTTGAGCAATTAAGATCTTATACTCATTATAATAATATTACGTGTATATATATATCTTGATTATATATATATACATAGAAATAAAATGAAATAATAATAAAATGAAAAAATATGAATTCCTTCCATAACCATTAATGGATTATCAATCGATATTGCAAAGTATTGTGAAATATTTGATCAATTCATCTTCAAAGCCATAATTTGACTTTTCTTAAATAAATACATTATTTTATTATTTGGATAGATAAAAACTAGAATTAAAATTAACATTTTCATTACCAACTTATTATATTTTTACTGACAAAGACGAAGATAGAAATGTGGGTCTAATTTTTATTTGCTTGAGTTACTAAAAGCAAATCAATTGACGGTAAAATTTGGTATTTATTAGGGCTTCATACCTACGACTATGGCACAAGGATTTTCATGATACCGTTGACTCAGTATATGCTTAGTGTAACCAAAATTATCTGAAACCACGAAGTTGTTGGTGTGGAAGTAAGACGATCTTTAAGCTACACATACGGCATTCACATCCGAGTACGCGCATAAAATCGAAAATTGGTTTCCGTAAGAAAATGCTTCTGTGAGCTAAACTAATTTGGCCAAGATTCTACTACGTTCGCTTGATATTTGTGTAAAGAATGAATATGAAAAATGTAAAAAAATTGGAGCTTTTATCAATTGGATTGTTGCCAATCTTTACGCAGTTGATTATTTGCATATAAGACAAGGATATAATATCATTATATATTGTAACGCGAAAAATTTATTTTATCACTCAGAAAAAAATATTTTCGGATATACGAATATTTATATTTTTATTTTTAATAATACGATTGATTGTAGATATTTAATAACTTGGTAAGCATGTATGCATATCCCTTTTTAAGCTTACGTGAATATATAAATATTTGTAGAATGTGTTGTTTTATTAGTAAATTAAAATTGATATAAGAATATTTGATTACACTAAAGATTGACAATAAACGTTTTTCTGTTAAGAATTGAAATCTTATATTTCCGCAGAATTTTTTTTACATTGTACAAGTACTCTCGGCAGAGTAAAAAAATTAAGGAACCTTTAGTTAGATTACGTAACAAAAAAATGTCAATTATATATTTCGGTTATTTCATTAAGCAATATAGATAGCTTTATTACTAAAAAAAATTGTAAGAAAAATATTCAGTTATACTAATAATATCCTAATTATATACTATATATTTAATATTTTATTTAAAATCTTTATTTTAACATTATATTATAGCCAGCTTAATCTACATTATGAAATTGAATTTTATTTATATTATATTATCAATTTAAGGCATCTTAATGAACATTGACAAGAGTTTTTATTAATTTTTAAATCGTCCTTTATATTTAAAACTTTGAAAAAGGAACTTCTTCAAGAAATTCTACAGAGAGCAATCTTAATATATTCAAAGAACTTTGCATATGATTCAAGGGAAATAACTTTAAATGAGATATTAAGAGAAAACCTCTTTAAAAATATAATAGATTCTTTGATGGGAAAAGCATCTTTTAAACCTAATTCATTGTTTCTTGATTGAAAATAGCATTTTTGTAATATATTTATAGAATAATATACTTGTTGAAAATATTATTTAAAAGGGGTATTCTCAAATTTATGACTGCCTACTATACTTTAATAACAGATAATTCTTATTGCTTAGAAAGAAATATGCCATTCTTTCTTAGAAAAACAGATCCGAATTAAAAGAGGTTCCTTTCTAAAATTTTATTATATATAACAATGTATGAGAGCGCAAAAGAAAGTTCTAGCGTTATAGAATATTTTTATGATTCATCATTGTAATAATTTTTTATGAGTTTAACAAATATTAAATAACAGACCTTTTAATAATATTGCTTTATCAGAAAGCATATTATTACAAAAATGAAAATGAAATATTTATTAATTAGCCTCTGTGAAATGAAAAGACTTTACTAGAAAATAGTTTTTATTAATATTTCAATTTTAATTAAAAATTATAATTCTATGATGCAGTTGAATAAATATTAAAAATAGTAGTGACTAAATGATTGTTTGTCGTAATATAATGTGTAATTAAAAATACACTTTAAGAAATAATTAAAAAAAATATTTTTCGCATTTAAATAAGCGAAACACATTATTCAATTAAAAAATTGACGATTATTTGAAGAAATTAATTTTAAGATAGTAGTAATTCAGAAAAACTTTATTTTTCTCGTAAAATATATAATAAAGATGCGATAAAAGATAGTTCAGTTTAAATACCTTTTAATTAGTTTTAAATTAAATTACGAAACTCTTATTTTAAAAGAGTATAAAATATTTGTGTTTTTATACGAGCTAAGAAAATATAATACACAATTTATACGTTATCTTCTATTATATCTGTAAAATATTAAATATAAAAATCGGATTTATTATTTATAAATAATACGCTCGAAATAAATTGCCTCGTACGGATAATCTTGATGAAGTTTTTCAAGCGCTTTCTAATTAATATATCTGGAATTTCAAATTTATATGGCTAAAGATGAAGGTATTAATTATATATCCGAATTTTTAATATGAGTAATAAGTACATAATATAATTATTTATAAGAAAAGTATTATTATGTATGTTAGAAAGTTATTAGGTAATTTATTAAATATAACTGCATTCAAGCTAGTCATTATATATGGCAATATTTTTGATAATAAAGAAAAGCTGAAAAATAAACAAACTAAATTTTTTCGTAAACCTAAAGTTAAAATTTAAATAATTAAAATTCACGATATTATTAGTTAAATTATAAAAGTAATTAGTATTTCAATATTAATTAATACAGCACTGCTTACCAAATAATAACGTATATAATATTGCTTTCCTTGTGAATCGGCTGTTTTTAAATAATTTTAAGCAACTCAGTTGAATTGTAATTCGATCGTTTATATTTCATGAAATATTATAATAAATATCTGTATATAGGTTTTCTTTTCTAATGCAATTATTGGTAATATATAAATAAAAATTTTTAATATCAATATCATTTTAGTGGAATACAAATAAAAAATGAAATATAAACGCCAAATAATAATAAAATAATATAAAAATAGTTATAAAATTCCTTTGAAATAGTTGTTTGACCAGGTTGTTAAAAAAAAAAAATAAATAAAACCATATTATTTGACCATTATTAGAGCAATTTAATAGACATATGTAACATAAATTTAGAAAAGATAATTTTTATAATATTTAGTGATTGAACTATTCTATTTTTTACACAGTCTGCTAACGTATAATTTATATTTATAAAATTTCACAATAAAAGAATAAGTTTAATTAAGTAAATACATTTTATATTATTCATTAAAATATATTAACTAAAATATATTAATAGATTTCGACAACATATATTTTTAACAATAGACGATGCATCGTTTTCTATCCTTGTCACTTACTTTGTAATAATGCTTTGTTGAATTATTTTTTCGTTTCTCACGTAATTATAGACTTATATTTATTATATATATACATATCTGTTATACAGATCTGTTAATAATGAAAAACATATCTCTATCATTTATCACTGATATCATTTAAATGTTGTTTAGCTAACTAATGATAAAGATATTGACAATTGAAAATAATAATAAAATTTTACTGAATTATATAAATATGAATAATTAAAATATTCATATAACAGTATTAATCTGCATTTTTTTATAATACAGTTTTTCTATTAGAATTAGAGAAAAAATTATTATTGTCTACAAATACCAGTAATCCATAATGATTAACTTCAAATAAGAATATTGTATTACTTATGGCTTCAAAGAATAAAAATATATAACGATATTTTTAATTATAAAGAATAAACGATTTTTTTTAATGAAATGTACAGTATAAACTTTTGTTAATAACATTAAATTAAATAATTTTTACGTTCCGTTATTATATTTCAAACAATAATTAATTTCTTCATTTTATTTTAATGAAAATTTTTTAATCAAATACATCAAAGGCTGCTCAAAACGTCAAAATATCATATCTCTCGAAATGTTACGTAAATGGTAAAACGTAATTCTTCATGCATCTTGGCTTAAGAACTTTCACTATTCGGCAATTCAAATTTACATTTACTATAATAAATGCTAAATGGCATTTTTAAATTCATAATTCGGTATAGTTTTAAGTTATTTTGCAAAAACATTTAAACTTCAATGTGTATTACTTGAAAATGAAATATTATGAAATATGCCTCTTGAAAATTTCGAGTACCAAGCCACTCTTACTTTGTAAAACCTCTCATCTTCTAGTTTTTCATTAAAGCTCAGCGCCTCGAGGAGCAAAATAAAACAAAAAGCAAAGTGCCCCTCCCTCCCCCGTAATTCTATCACTCTCTATCTCTCTTTTGGTTCATCCATTCATCTACCTATTTACCCGGCAAACAGCTTGATTTACCGTTCAAAATTTTCACAGGCGGAACCCCGGCATCGCTAGACAAAAGTGGCCAGCAGTGGGACTTTCCAAATGCCTGGCCACCACTACAGTCCATCATTGTTCAAGGACTACGTCAAACTAATTACACGCCTGCGATGAACGTTGCACGAAATTTAGCAACTACGTGGCTGAAATCGAATTTTTTAGGATTCAATGAGTCGAAGAAGATGTATGAGAAGGTATGAAAACCCGTAGTACGATACTATTTTACTCACTTTTTCTTATGTCTGGCATACTTCTACTACTAGAAAATCTAAGATTTTCTCTATTTCTCTGATCTATATTGATGTGTCTTGCAATTAAAGGAATATTGTAAGATAAGGATTACATAGATATAGTACACATAATGACAGACTTTATTATCGGTATTGTCAACAATGCCAAAATAAAATAAAATTTCTTTTTAGTAATAAAATCATTATTGACATATTTTTTATTGATCTTTACAATTCAAATTAAAATAATATTTTTCCCTAGTAAGTCATGTAACAACAATAATATATTATTATGATTCGTTTTCTGAATATTTATCTACTTTTGTTCCACATAATCTATTAGTTTCAAAACTCAAATTAAATATTCATTGCACTTAATCCTTACTGCATTATCTAATTCCAATATATAAATTTTTCGTGTTAAAATTTTCTCTGAAATACCATTTTTACTTTTTAGCAGCATTTCAACATAAAATATCAGATTATGTTCCATTTCATATATATATATATATATATATATATATATATATATATATATATATATATATATATATATAATACATAATGTTGTAATTTATTTAAACAAAACGAAAGATATAATCCGAATGTTATAGTCGGTATCATGTTAAACATATATTTATTTGGTTAAATTTTCCCATAATGTTAATATATTATTATTTACGCATTTACGAAAGTAAATTTTGCATAGGAAAATCTTTATATAAGCGATCTTCCACTTGCCTCTTTTGCATTATAAAAACTTATTACATTATTACATTCTTACTCACCGAGAGCTACAAAAAAAAAAAAAAAAAATAGAACAGATTTTTCTAATCCATTAAATCTTCATGATTGCCGGAAAGCATATTTACGGTAGAAGTTATATTCAAAACAAATATTACACGAAAACTCTATACGACTGTTAATTAAAAGAATACGGCAATATTGTCGAGCTTCGTTTAAACAATAAGGTAAAGAATTGTTTTTCAATATTTCTTTCAGTGCTTACTATTCTTTGATCACGTAGATTATCTTAATGATCGTTTCTCAGAGAAGAAAAGAAAGTGATATAGAAAGAAAAGGACGAAAATATGACATGAAATATAATCGAAACGGGAAATACGGGATATCGAAATAAATTTCGAACTATCGAAACTATCGAAATAAACCATACAAAATAAACTCTTTGTTCTTCCTATACTTATTACAAAGTCTGTCTGAGAGGACCAAAGTAAGATTAATTAAAAGAAATATAAATGAAAACAGAAAAATACGACGAAAAACTAGTACACTTTATCTTTGATGCTCTACACTGCGAGAAGTTTGGTGTAGATAATTGTGCAATTACAGTCTAATGAAAACTATGAGATAAAACTCTTTTCAAATTTGGTATTTTTAGTTAAACGGCTAAATTGTATACAAAGTTTGAGAGGAAACACTTACATCTTCTATATCACTCTCATTCTACTTCTATCTACTTTTCATCTCAACACAAAACACAGGAAGCAACATAGTCATACTTTATCATAATGTACATATTATTATTAATGTAATAAACATCGAGCCATGGCTTATAATGATTGTAGTCATAATTATTGCAGATTAAACGAGAATTGAATAATATCATTGTAACAGAATAACATTCAAATGTCTATTATTGAATTACCCGTAATAACACGCCAATTGCAATTACTTTTATGTTAATTACAACCAATCAACTTTTCTTTTGTATTATTGATATTTATATATCTAATCAGAAATCTATATTGAACAATTTATTTAATAAAATTAATTGAGCACGATCATGTTATGTAATCATATTTTTTATCATATATTTTATCGAATATACCCTGAACAAAAAACTTAAAACCTTAAAATAAATACACTGATTCTATCAATAAAAAATATAAAAAAATATCTTACCTAATAATATCACCACAAAGGGAATTAACGATTCTTCACAACTCTTTTTCTATAAGTAGCAAATGACAGTTATTAACAAATAAAGTAAATAATTGAAATTCTAAAAATAAAACAAACAAAATAAAAATTCGTCGAAATGATTTTTAATTCCAGTTTTTCTCGTTGATTATGAATATACCGTAAATTAATAAATAATAATACATTATAGCATTGTATCACCCCTACCACTCTATCACTTTATATCTATGAGAGAGGATTTCCAAAGCCTAAGCTGCGCTTAACAGATGTTTCTATGAATATCCTGTTAATCGGTATTGTAAATCCTTGTTACAAGTGCTAACTGATAAATAAGCCAATCCATTTGACAATAATTTTAACAAACGCAAGTTCAATAAATATATCATCGATTCTATTACAACTAATAATTTGTTGCTAAGGCTTTTTTTATAACTTCAATGTTCATTCGTAGTTTAATTAATTGTTGTGTTGGTACATATTGAATTTTCAAACAAAATTATCAAAATTAAAATTCTTCTGTAAATTAAAAGTAAAAAAATCTATTTTTATATAATTTATGATGAAAAATCAAGTAAATCAATCAATTATATATTTTATATCTTATATTATATGAACTATACATAATAAATAATAAACTACTATACATAATAAATTACGCGCGTACTGTAATATATTTATTTCTCAAATCCATGTGGAATGATTCTCAAACATTACTTTTCTTCTACCGATTATTACAATAAGAAGTAGATTACAGTTAATGCAGTAGTTTAGAATAATTTTAATATAAAACCGTGGGAAAAATTAATAAGTTACATAAATATTTCCTTATCTTGCTTAAAATTCTCATAGTCTTAGGAATAGAAAAATTTCCATTATTTTTATAATTCTTTCATAAATATTATCACAAAATTTTACTCCCATAATGCGCTTTTTATATAGTTAATTTAGTTCTATAATCGCAAAACTAACATACTTAAAGATATATTAAACTGTTATTGATTTAACGTCGAGATACAATGACCCTATTTTATACAATTTTTTATTTTTATTATATGATATCGATTTACATTATGCAAATACAAATATAGTGCATCGTTATTTAAAAAGATTTATAAACTTTCTACATTTATTATAAAATGTTCATATGCATACGTATAAATGAATCATAAAATGTGTTTGTGTAGCACTGTATTTGTTCAAGTTTGGACGGATGCTCACTGAAAAACAGTGCTTTTTTCATATTCAAAACAATTATTGAATTTATCTTGTTCGTTGTATATCATAGATTTGATTGCCAAATATATCATTACACTTTCTTGAACATTACTTTTTCTTGAACTTAAATATCTCCGGCAGCTTGATTCAAAATAATTAACAAATTAAGGATAAAAATTAAGTTTACGGGATTATAGAAAGAAGAACATAAAGAAAAATGTCTACGATGGGGTGAGTTGTGTCGGGCTAACACATAAGTATAAAAGGAAAAGTAGGTTCGCAGGTGGCGTAGAATATCGGTGGATCAAACTTGGTTGTTTTTCCTTCTCAATCTTTTATCACTTGGTTAAAGAGCATGGAGGAGTAATGGAAGGGGAGCATAAAATAATACAGAACTCTGTGGTATAGTATGAGCAAGAGCTAAAATAAAGAGAGAAAGAGGGTTCAAACTCGACTGGAGGTCATTTGTTAATCCCTCGACGTTTCTCTCCTACTTCCTTCGACCGCCGTAAAATGAGCTTTTGGGCTTTTAGTACGCTGAGGATTATTTAGCAGGCTCCTGGAGACTTAATGGAGCAACGCTTTCAGTGGGTGGGAAAAAATTTTTGACGAATAGCATTTTAGTCGATTTGATTAATTTGAAGAGTGAAGGGTGTACGTTAGGGGTAAAACATGTATTTTCCGTGATATAAAGACGAATCCTTTTTCTGATTTATACGTAAAAGTGTGTATGTCGGAAAGATTCCTGTAAAAAAAGGATAAATTTTCTTTTTTTTCTTAATACTTACTTCCATAATTCTATATGCAAAGTTGATTATGCCAATATTTATTTACATTACCATTATTTTACAAAAATAATGCTTTAATTTATAGCATTCAATAACACTTTAGCGATAACTATTATGTCACTGAAATTGACTATTATTTACAAAAATACAAATTGAAAATGTCTTATTTAATAAACAACAAATTGATGGTCGTTTCCAAACAAAAATTTCTATTTAAAAGCGAAAAATTTAAAACAATTAAACAGATGAATATAAATCAATATACATTTTTTATAAATTAATTTTTTAATAATGATAATGAAAAATTGTTTGTGAATTCGTTTTTTTTCTCTCTTCAACTATATTGTATAATATAAGATCATTTCGAAAATAATTATGCGTTGAAATGCATTCTTGTAAAAACTTTTAAAGGCATAAAGAATATTGCTATGTTCATTACCATTTTTAATATGACAAGTATTTAGTATTCTCTTAGTTTAAGAGGTCTTTAATAACAATTTACCTTGATATGCTAATTGCCATAATCAACTAAACGAATCTCACTGTCAATATCCGTATAAATTTTATGCATTAAAAAATTAAGCGCTTCGGATTATTAAAATCCTGATTCTAATTTCAAATATCAGACATTCAAATAATTTATGCTTGTGAACTTTCAGCTGATAGAACGTTTCATTTTTTGTCAACGCGAAAGCTTGTTGAGAACTCAATTAAAATTTTCATTAAATTCTGGCGGCTTTAATTAAACACTTCCTTGAGCTTGAATATGCGTGGGCATCGTTAGCTAAATAAAAACGATTTCAACCTGTGCTTCGTGCCTTCGCTCAGTCAATTTTCTTTAAGTCTCTGAATAAGTTTTAGAAGAAACCGAATAACCAAGTCTCGGAACGTGGATCTCCATGCGCCATAAAGATTCCGGCATTACCACATCCAAAAGAGAAAAGGGATATCGGGAAGGACGATAGAGACTAAATAAATGATTCGAAATTGTCTAATCTAACGGTGCTATTACAGGCCATA